CTATCTATCTATCTATCTATCTATCTATCTATCTATCTATCTATCTACCTATCTATCCAAATGGCATTAATCTGTGACCACTTACATGGTCTAAACACCCAAGACCAAAGTGTAATCAGGAACATATGATAGTTCTACCAGCTTTGGCCCAATTCAAACAGCAAAAATTTAATACTCCTTTTCTAGTATCAAACACTCTTTTTCAGAAGACTCTTAAATCCGAGAAACAGGAAACATCTACTGAAGCAGTAAGTCAGTTGAGAATTCACACACTCTCTTCAAAAAGAACTGCACAGGTTAACTTTGGATAAGTACCTGTGCCCACCAGGAAAAGCCTTCCTTACGCATGGCCTGCCTCCCTCAATAGCTAATCAGAGTTGCCTCTTCAACAACTTGCCCCTGAAACATCACACTCTATCGTGGATCTTACTATTTTAATTTTTTTTGTTTGGTCTTTATTCATTGTGTGGTTGCTGTGAATGTTTGGAACCAGAATAGATTGATATTCATTGTGTTTCAGAAGTTTAAAGCTTGAAGTACTTAAGGTGTACTTAGCTTAAGATTTGGAGCAATAATACTGAGGTCACCTAAACAACACTTTTCTAACCTGACATTTGATCCTAAGTACACACAAAGGGGACTCCAGGAGTTGGGTATGCATAACACATCCTTCCAGACTAACATAGAACAGGAGGCACACTGTGTCTTTAAACTTCCCCCTCTGGAATAAAAAACTTCCTGGTACATCCTCCCTAAAGAATCAGGGAAGAACAGCATACACCAGTTACTCTATTCTACCTTAAAACTATGCACTCATAATCAAGAAACTGGAAGCCAGAAACTCCAGTGTAAGCAAGGCACAAGGACAGGCCACTCTCAAAACCAGGCTCTCAACGCCAGGCCAGGGACATCTCACAGGCAAGAAAATGATGCCTATCGACACAAGGAGTGAAGAACACAGCATCGGTCAGCAGGCAACACCTTGAATGTATGTCCCTGTGGCCAGGCCCAGATTTTTCTCACTGGAAACCAGCAGGATTAGGACCTGGGGGTTCTGACATCTCGTAGCTTTCTCTTCCCAACCTCGCAAGCTCCCCCACACTGGGGCTGCCGAGGTTGAAGAGATGTTGGCATCCTTGAAGGATCTGCCTGCTTCCCCAGGAGAATCTGTCCGGGGTTATCCTCCAGTGTGAGTTCCTCATATACCTATTGACTTTCACTGGCCGAGTGGGCTCACCTGGGCTGTCTGCTGCTTCTTGCACAATCTCCTCAGACTTGAGGTTCTTGGGTTCTACAGATCTCCCTTAGACTTAACATCTTAGACTTTGCCTAGGAAGCCCCTCTCCTGATTCCTGTCTTCCATGTGACTGGATGTGTCAGTGAGTAAACTTGCCCTGTAGGCCTTGAGACTCCAGGAATGTATCCACAACTGATCTCAACTTGTCACAGAGTGGGACAATTTGTAGGCTGTTACTTTCAGGAAATGTGACAAATTATTCTTGAGACCTTGAATCCTGACAATGTATTTGGAGGGTTTATCAAGAAAATAGTTTTCAGATAATTCTCTGTTTAGTTTTAGCCCAACACTGATTTTACTTTAGAGAAAGTGGTTTGGGTTAAAATATCCTGGTGTGGGCTGATTCATTAAACTCTACTGCAGTGTTTCTTGTTTAGGCTAAGGTTGGACCCTGTGTGTACAGATGCTACAGTGAATTGACTTCAGTGTTGGGTAGGACCCAGATGTCATAAGAGTTTTAACAGAAGACCATCTCCAATCAGGAACAACAAGGTGAAGGTCAACTCTAAAGGGAAAAGGAACTGATGTGGTACCAGTTCTCCTGATGTTTCTGGCACTTGAAATGAGTTTGCCCTGACTCCTCACCTAGGAACTATTTTTTCTCCCTTGTCTTTAGCAAACAAGTCATGAAATATAAGTCATTTGCAAAAAATGCATGGATAATAAATGGAGAAAAGTGACTGAGACTTTCAGAAAATGGCTTCAATTTCTCTCTCTGCATTTTAATTTTTAATTTTCTCAATATTTATTCTTAGATTTAATTCTAGAAACTTCATGAGTCTTAATACCAGAATTGAAGATACAGAGAACTGAAGAGGTTTTAGATAGATAAAAATAGTAGTAGATAAAAGTATGCATGTAAATCTTAGCTTCTACAGTTCAGTAAGGAACACAGCCCATATTCTAATAGTTTGTAACTGTCCTAATTGTATAAATATATATTCATTACAGAAGTTGTTCATTATAGAAATTAATTTATCATGTAATTTCATGTGGTTTTTAAACCAAATTTTTGACTTGCTTCATAAAAGTGGAGTCATTGTACATTTGCACTTATGTCCTAATTTTTTTTGCTTGAGTTTAAAGTGACCCCCTCCCATCTAGAGGCATAATCTGAATTGTCACTCTCCATGTGGTAAGATATTTGTAACATAACATGTTCCATCTAAGCCACGATGGGTGCTCAGTTCAATGGCACTCGAAACAGTCACACAGATGTGTAAACACCACTTTCATAGATCTCAAGGACATCAATTAATGTCTTCATTAATCAGTAATCCTTCACTCTATTCTGCCAAGCCTGCCAGCCACCATTTTATTTTTGGTTTGCATGAAAATTCACCTCTTTCTATGAGTTAAGTGTTTGTCTCCTACCACAGCCATGTTGAAATGTGATTGCCCTCATAACATCATGAAAACATAGAAGCATTAGGTGATCAAATGGGCTCCAAAGCATGTGTCACTATTTACCTGCTGCCTCAGGCTATTAGTGTTCTATTCCATGGCAACAGCGTGCTCTCCTTGTCTGTTCATTGCTTTATAACATTTGTTTTCTTCCTCTGTGTCTCTTGAAGATAGATTTGGTACTTGTCTTCCCTACATTCCCCAATGTCCACAAAATCTAAACTTATACCAAGAAACTTATAAATACACAAAAAACAAGCCACAGTGAAAAAAAAAAGGTCAGAGAGTAACACATTACCTGTTTGTAAGTCACTAAACCTACTTTAGAAAATTGAATGACTAGTGCTCAGACCACCACAATTCAGACCTCTGAGTCATGTTCTCCTTCTGACCTCCCACTTCCTTGTATAAAGCCATTTGAGCTGACAAACCAGTTCAGTATGAGCTCCAGCTGCTTGTCTTATTGCCCTCCAGACTTGTTCTTCTTCCTCCACCATGCCTGTAGTAAGCTCTGCTCACCTGCTTGTCTGCAGCAATATCCTAAGGCCACAACCAAATCCTTCTCAACCAGACTTATTTTAATTGTTAGAAGTATGTCTGTTCAGTAACACTAATTCATTTTAGAATCACAGCATATAGTGAAAAGAAGCTATTTTCAGTTTTTTCAAATTCTTGTGATGCTTCCTCAGATTCAATGAGTTAAATAAATCAGTGTTCCTAGAAGTTCTCAAAAATTTCAAAACTATGATTATTTTAAATATATTTCCAACAATGTTCATATTTTATTATTTAGATAGATATAATTCTTGTTTAAGGAATAAATATACTAACTTTAGCAAAGCTTACAAGGAACCACTTCCTACATAAGCATGTAAGTTATGAGAAACATAACTTAAGATTTAGGCCTACCAGGTACATACATCTCTCATGGACTCACATGTGGACACTGCCCAAACGAAGGATTTATTTTGTATTGAGAATATGTTTACACTTTGAGAGTTTACACATATGGAGTTTCATCCTGCTCCTTGGCTATAACATTCCTCATCCATGTCAATGTGGCTCTGAGCACAGACTCTCTTTCTCAGGTCCAGGCTTATTAGCTATGACCTCTCTACCCAATTCCATGGTCCTT